AATATGACGCTAGGTACGCTGTTTCATGTGGTTTATGTAGTCTCACACTCACAGCCAGATTCGAACTCCCCCAAAAAATGCTGGGCCTGTCATTCAGGCCTCAAATCCAAACCCCAAGATCATATCGGTCATTCACGGTTCAAGGCTTCGATATAAGGGTTGCTTGGATTCTCGCCCGCCCGCTTGGGCTTTTAGTTTGAGGCTTGAGGGTATCGGAGCTGGAGCCTCTCTGATGGACTCCGTGTCGGCGTTGTAGACGTAAACCTTCCGGGAGTCTGTGGATGCGTAGACATGGATGGAGCAGCAGGAGAAGAACAATAATCCCCAGAAAACAGCACTACCAGTAGGGTGGAAATCACGGAGGAAAAAGCTTCAAAGCTCCCAATGTCGACCGGAATTCCCAAGACCATCCTAAAACCGAGGTATGCTGCCCATGCCTGCATGCGCTCATTCAGGTTTGCTTGCACAACTTCGACGAGCTCGTCGATGTCGTGGAAGACTCTCTGGGGAGTTCCAAGCAAGAAGTCCTGAGAAGTGGAAAGCATGGAACTTTGATGCTACAAAGGCAACGAAGGCTGCGGATAAGACGACGTCCCAGCCTGGAACGGCACCAAGCCTGCGTGCGCCGCGGGCGAGTTCGGAAACACCTGTCGAAATAATTCCACGGCAATCTGCCAGAGCTACAGCCACGACCACCGGGCCAGATTAAGATCTGGGGTGGGTGCTGCAGGGAGAAGCGGGTTTTGTCGCTGCGATCCCATCGTGCCAGCATCACATGCTCAACTGAAAGTTGGTTTACACCGGATCCTGTTCTACCACAGGCCATGGGTGGCCGCAAGCTTTCTGTGGATCCGGCCGGATCCCAGTCGGGAAGTCTCCCCCGAAGAATCAGGATATTCGAAGTCCTCAGCCCTCAGCACAACCCAGAACCAACCACCTCTATGGCAACTCAAATACTACGAGTAGGTTTTTGGGATACCTTGTAGTTACAGTGTTCAGGAACCAGAAGGAGCAAGATAAGTGATTAGTACTTGTTCAGGTTTCTACATTATTGACATTTGAGTTGCGCAAGATTTCGTGTGAAATGTGGACCGAAGCTACAGCCGAGGGCTGCAATGCGGAAATCGAAAGACTCTGTCGGAGACAGCTAGGCTTTTTGGCTAGGACCCACCGAAACACACACCCACACCTTGCTAAACTCCCTCCCTAAACCCTAAACCCTAAGCCGTAAACCCTAAGCCCTAAACCCTAAGCCCTAAACCTTAAACCCTAAACAATAAACCCTAAACCCTAAAACCTCAGCCGAACCCGGATCGGAAGGCCTCCAGAACTCGAATGCCGTGGTTCTCGGCCTGAAGAGGAACAGCACTTTCGCGGTTCGCGGTTGTTCGAAGTGCAACCGTTGTGATTCTGAGATTCTGAGTTTTCGATAGACGTGTAAAGACACCAACTGTTCCGAATTATTGCTGTCAGTTCCCGAATCCAAACTCCCAACCTCTAGACTCTTCGAAACGAATCCTGTGCTGAAATTCTCTCCTTCCGAGATACTTCTTTTTCTTCCGAACCGACTCGTGAACGCCATGTCCGTAAGTATGCCCCGCGCCCCCATGCCTGAGACCTCGGACCTCAATGCTCTGGCACACTTGCAGACTTGCAGAACTGCTTCTATTTTGCCGCGAAGATAAGGCGGCGACGACATCGACGGCATCATAGCGCACTGTCGCACCTCGAATGGCCCCACTTAGGAGTCCCTCGCGGTTGCGATTTATTGAAGGTCACGTTACGCAACTGACGGTCTCTACAACTGCAGGCTTAAGGTTTCGAAGGACGGTCTTCTACTTGAGACCTTCCGATGCTGGGGGCTATGGGCAGCAACCAGCGGCAGTCTGCTGGCAGGTCTTCGGGATTGCAATTCGTGCCTGTCGCGTAGATTCATGCAGCCAGTCCAGCGCGAGAGCTGATATTCATATGGCACCGGCATGTAGAGGAATATCAGTTCTATCGTGATACTAACGGTCAGTGTACTGCCAGAGCCGATGCCCGCACAAAGTCCGAGCGGTCTGCTGCCCTGCATGGTCAAGGCAGGACTGCAGCACGCCCGGAGGCTTTTGCTGAAGAGAAATGGAAAGCAGTATGTATGATCCACTATTCAATCCGTACGAGCCCAGGCGAGCCCGGACGGAAGCAAGAGTAATTACGCTGCTCCCTGCGGGGGGAACAACCTAGAGACCATGGCAACAAAAGAATCCGGGCTTTCCAAACTGTCGCCTGGGGTCTCGGCCGAGAAGGCCAGTACCCGTCCATTTTCTGGGCATCACGGCGACCTCCAGAGAACTCTTGTGGTTCAAACAGGGCCACAGCGATCTCAAGGCGAATGCTGCCGGCATGAGGGAGGTACGGTGCCTGACACGCACATGCCCAAGTCTGTCTGGCGATCCAGTTAATCATTTCGGAGGATACTTGGCCGAACATCGACAAGAAGCCCTAGCTAAGCGAAACCTCGTGGCAACACAAACTCGCTTTAGGAACCACCTCCCTGGTCATGTTGGCTCTGGTGTTGTACACCGTGAGCTTCGCCGATCCATTTTCTGCTTCCTGGCATCAGAAATAGGCATGTCAATCAAAAGCACCGCAACTAGCAGGAGACACGCAAGCGAACCTCAAATGTGTTCTTACATTGCAGCCACAGACATGACACCACGAGAGCAGTCAAGAACTCACCTAATCGTGATCAGAGAACAAATAAACCCAACTGACATTGTGTTTCTCGTCTCTTTGCAGTACTTACACGCACCTGCTCACCTGACTGCGCACACACACAGAGACACGCTCTGGCCTGGATGTTTTTGGCGAAAACTGACTGCTCACCGGGCCTTGCTGCCGGTCTTACTTAGGCTCCCAAACTCTGTTTGCTTTTGTCCTGATTTCGGCTCCTTGGCTTCTCAAGGCCTTTGCTTTTCTTGTCTTTATCAGTACCAGCAGTGGCTTTATTGTTGCAATTCCTACATTATTGTTGCTGCATTGCTACCGCTTACAAATTCTTACCATCAGGACCCCACCACTACCACCACCACGACCACCACGACGATGGCTGCCGCCACTGCTACGACTACGATTCTACTGCAGAAGCCATCCTACTTTTGCTGGTGCTAACTTTATTTTTACTGCGCGCTCTCTTCGCACTGGAGTCAGGATATTGTTTGTGCAACTGCTATCATCATCTCTTCAATTGCGCATGTCTTTAATTACAGCCATGCTCTCGATTATTTCTTGCTGTCAGATGAGCCTGAGTTCGCTGATACCAGACCTGTCTTGACGGCTGCTCTGACGATGGTGCCGACGCTGACGATGCGAATTCAGAACTCTTGTTTTGCGGGCTGGCGGGGAAGGTGCCAAGGTTCCGTCTCAGCATGTGGCCAGGGTTGTGTTGCCTGTGAAAACCATACATGAGCTTGAAACGAACAAGCGAGCCCGGTTCAGGCGTCAAATAGCTAAAAAGGCCTGTTCTCCAGGATTTAGGTTTTGCAGCGAGAAAATCGCACAAGATTGAATCTGCCTCGGCCCACAGCTACAGCAACCTGCACAAAATCTAACTGCAAGAGCAAAGGCACGTTGCACATTTACGGGCACTGGCTGAGTTGGAGTTCTTGCACATGCGAAAGCAGGCTTTTGTTTCGATGCTTCTGGGGATCTTCGGGGGTGACCGACCACTTTGAATTGCTCTTGAATCCAGCTTCTTTACAATTGGTGTTGTTGCAATGCAAGGCCGCCACTCCAACCGGATGCCGTTGATGGCCAGGATGAAGTCGAAAAAGACCTTCGCTTGCTGGAGTTTCTAGGCTGAGGTTTCGGGGGCCCGCAGTCTCTCCAACACCGTTTCCAGGAGCTTACAGATGTGGGCTGTTGCAGCTTGGCCTCTCAGGAGTTTACAAGCGTTGGGTTGAGGTCGAAAGAATAGAGGCGCTTAATTAGTCTCGACACACGTGCACCAAATCATGAGTTCTCCTTCTTGTTACACTTGAAATTCTACCCCCCCCCCCAATCTAATCAATCTAATCGACCATGAGCAGCATTGTCATTGCGGGGCTGTTCCTACACACTTGTTGTAGACGGCGCTGAAGTGAACCAGTACCACGTGTGGCTAATCCCCAAACCTTATGTATCCTTATGTCGCACCTCCAGGCCCGCTTCGGCTGCGGGGCTGCCAGGGCTCACCTGCACAGGACGCATTTAGGGGGACTACGCCCCAAACCCCAAGCCCTAAACCCTGAACCCTAAACCCTGAAGCTTAAATTTATGAGGGCTTGGGGGCGCGGCCTTGAACACCCGCACACCCCCGATCTCCGTCGAGGTGGTAGTGCCCATCGCGGCGAACCTGCTCCGGGCTTCAATGTCCATTTGGGGCTTAGGGGGCTTAGGCCCTAAACTTTAAGGGGTCAAGGCCGGCAGGGCTTCAGCGACTTTGTTGGAGATTGGCGCGAGGAATGACTTCGGGGGATGCACTAGGAACTCAAAAGCTTGGACGACGAATGGTTCGTTGAAACATCACCATTGGTATGGTTGCTTCGGTTAGCAATGTTTTTGCGTGACCAACAATACCAGGACCATTATCATTCTGATCCTGATTACGAGTGCAAGTGGCTAGCACCGGCTGTGCCAATGTTTTCTGAAGAACACTTCCCCTTCCGTTCACTCATGTTGCTAGCTATGGTGACCAGGACATTGCGCTTTTGCAACTCGTTGTGTCCACAGCTGCTGCTGTTTCCACTTCTGCTTGTTGTTCTTATGTGTTCCCTTGTGGTCACTACTCGAGAACCACTAATCTTAAGATCCTTGTCCACCCTGGTCCAGTTTGCTAATACACAGGGCTTGATAGGTAGAATAGGTTTTGGGGGCATCCTATCGCATTACTACGCCGACCAAGAATACTTTTATGCGCCGTTGGTAAACCCCGCCATCCGGGCTTGTGGGTTCTACTGCCAGTAGTCTTTTTCCTCGTCTTCGTCTGTGCTTCGCGATGCCTTGCCAGTGTCTACTGGGAATATTTCCACGTTGCTCTTGTTCTGTGCTATTCTCGGTAGTGGTAGCCGGTGGCTTTCAGGCGGTGGTCTCGCCTTGAGGCAGGAGGGTGCAGGCTTCATGGGGTTTGGGCTTGTGATCTTAAGTCAAGGTTTGCGTGTCAAGCTAAAGAACTGATTCTCCGGGCCTGCTGGGTGCTGCAGTAGCAAGGGGCCGTGCCCCGCCCCCCCAAGCGGGACCCCGATACGGCTGCAAAGGCCAGGAGAAAAACTATCGGGTACATTAAAGTTAGAGTGTTAGAGCCTTACTGACAGCACAGCGGGCCTAAACCAGTCAGTTTCAGAACTGTCTTGGAAGTCTTAAAATTAACATTGTTGTAGGCCAGCTCCGGGTATTTGGAAGTAGCATTGCGAAAGTGCAGTTTTCCAGGCTCGGTGCAGGTGTTTAGGGGTGCTGAATGCCTACAGGAGGCCCCCAAACCTGCAGTTTCACAAAGCTTTCCCTCTCGAAACTTTTCTGCGTCAGTCAAAACCAATGCTGCGTGCAGCTTGCTTGGAGCGCACTGGATGACATGCCATAGCTGGAAAACTGGAGCTTGTACTCATTCTGATCCCTGTGATTGTTGCGAATGGGTGAATCGCCAAAACTTTCATTCTTGCAGAGACAACCATTGCGGTTGCTTCTGGCCAGTGGTGTTGCGCAGCTGTCTTTCTGATTTTGTTGACCTTGCCATTACTCGTGCTGCGGCGGCTGCTGCTGCTGCGGCTGTTGCTGCTACCTCTACTGCGACTACTACTGCTACTGCTACTGCTACTGCTACTGCTACTGCCACTGCCACTGCCACTGCGCCTGCGCCTGCGCCTGCTCCTGCTCCTGCTCCTGCTCCTGCTCCTGCTCCTGCTCCTGCTCCTGCTACTGCTACTGCTACTGCTACTACTGATGCTGTTACTACTCCGACGGCAACTACGACAACTAGGCCTACTACGACTACGCAATACTAACACTGCCACCGCGCGACAACAAGCAGTCATGATGTGCAACTGCTCATGATACATGTGCGCCTGCTTGAACACAGCAGTAACATCACCAGCAGCAGCAATCTTGACCAACAGTCACTCTGAACATCTCTAGACCCTGAAACCCATGAGCCCTAAACCCTGATCCCTAAACCTCCGATATCTGCGCTCCTTTTGCTGCCTGCTCTTGTTCTGCAGTCACCTCGTCCCCGGAGCCTCGGAAGCAAGGCCTGGAGGCGGGACCAGAGGGAGTGAGGTTTTGTATTGCTTCGTTAGATGTAACAGTACAGGAGCATGAGACAGCTTAGTTGAGGGTCTTGATTTCGCTTTGGTTTGGTTCTAAGTTTAAGCTTGGCCCAGTCTTTTACAGGTGAGTATGCAGAAGCTGGGCGCAACTCCGGTAGGCACGCGTGAGACACCAGAACCCATTCCGACCATCACTGCCAACTTCAAATCCTTGTCTACGTAAAAGAACTGTGACAGCAACAACCACGCATCATAAGAATGGCACAAGCGAAACGGAAGTTGTGATCGAACACCGGCAAGTAGTTCGACACATCAATCTCATATCCAGCGGGAATGACAGGGGTAAACAAGGTCATCCGAGCACTTGCTAGTCAATCAGGCCAAAAGCTAACTCTCCAAGGAGGTGCGGGGCCCTGGCGATGCTTCGAAGAGCAAGGCGCGGACCAGGTTTCTTTGCATGTCTCGGGAGACTCCCGCCTCAGCTGCTCTGAAACTGCGACGAATGCAATGCCCAGCAGCGCAATTCAATCAATCAAATCCGGACTGGAGACGAAATTGCAGTCGACATGATTCACTGAAGACAGCCGAAGTCTTAATCAACCTTGGGTTGATGGGTGTTCGAGGTACCAGCGGGAAGATTCCCGGCACAAACAACAAGAGAGTGGCGTGCGGTTGGCAGCGACTGAGGCCCACACCCCGCCTTCCTTCAGCAAGCTGTCCAGCAGTGTCTCGGCATCATCCTAGACTCTAGACTTCAAAGCAACCTTCAGAAACACGAGCGTTGCTTCAGCAATGGCCACGCGACGAAATCATAGAAGTGGTGTTCCTCACTCTAGCCCTACTGCGCATCATGGCAGAACGTGAGAACGACGATGGTGAGCAAGAACAACATCGTGTGGTGGTGCTGCCGGCGGTGGCGGTGGTGGTGGCGGCAGCGGTTGTGGTGGTGGTCTTTGAGTGGATAAGCTGCCGAACACAAGTAGCTGATTAAGCTGACGGCTCCGCACTCCCTCAACAAAGCTCAGAGCCCAGATCAATTAGGGGACTGTAAACAATCCAACCTGGTTGTGCGGCACTTGCTCTGACCCGCAACCCCCCTGCAATCCTGGCTCGTGTTCGGCAGCTCCTGCAGAACTCGCAAAGCCTTTCACAAGCGAGGGTCATGAATCTTCGCAAACTTCGAAGATTTGCGGCCTTGTGACGTCTACTTCTTCTGATGAGGGTTGAAGCTTGACTCACTTTGAGCGTCACCACAAGAGCAACAACTGCCACCGACTCTACCCACTTCTGTTTTTCTTGCTGCTGTGCTGCTGTTGATGTTGCTGCTGTTACTATTGCTGTTGTTATTATGGAATTATGATTGTGGTTGCTTTTGTTGTTGCTGCTGCTGCTGCCACCGTCGTTGCTGTCACTTACGGAGGGGCATGGTCTTCGGCCCTGAAGAAAGAGTAAATCGGACTTTGGGTTGGTGGCTTCGGTTTCTAAGTGTGAATGACAGCCTGCTTCACCGGAGATCCGGAGATTAGGCCTCCACCAGCGGTGGACACAGATAGAGTTGCGCAGCGTCGGTAGACAGCTCCTGGATGTCCCAGTATAGGTGAGGAAAGGCAAAAGAACGCAGTGCAGGGAAGTCTTTGTCTTCGTCTTGAAGCTTCTTGCTGCCCTATATTTGACTTCCATTCTTAAGGTACTGCGGAACAAACGCCAGGAACCACGAGACGAACATTAGGATTAGTGATTATGATGGTGAGGCATATAGAATATGGGTGCCAGCAGCTAGCAACTAGCAGAGGCTCCATCTTGTGCGTAAAGGATACAGGCCGGACTTAAACGTGCTCGCGAGCTTCCTTAAAACAAACAAGTCGGCCCAGGTTCCAGCTTCCGGCACTGGAGTTTGAAGAACTTCACCAACACCAGTAAGCCGATGAATATTGGGTTCGTGCATTCGCTCACCTAAGCAGATCTCCAACGCACGAAATGCATATTCATCATATTCTTAGACTGCGGGATGCCGCCCGTGGGGTCACCAATGCAGCCGAGGTGCCAGGAGAGAAGGGCTTGCTTTGCTGTCTGCCACGCTCGCCGCAGCAAAGCTGCTCCAGCTGTGCTGCACCGCATTGCAGAGGGCACCTCCATCTGAGGGCAGGCGAGGACTTTTGCCAGCGACGACCTCCCCGATTGGTTTCAGGATTCCTCGTGGAATGATCCGCAGAACATCGCTTGCCACGTGCAGGATCTCGCCGGTTTCGGGTAATCGATCCCCGGCAGAGCTCCCCGTGGAGAGAGCAGCCAAATCCTCTCCACGTGCTATCCTCAAGGGCTGGAGACATAGCATTGAGGAGTCTAGACATGTTCATAGTTCCCAAAGACCAAGAACAAGAAGTTGCAGTCCTCAGGCCCTGTTGCGTGAAGTTCTAACATGCGAGTACTTCCTACAGGTGGCACCCTCCCCATCCCCCCCCCCCCCCCCCCCGGTATCATCTGCATCGAGAGGACATGTTCCAGAGCTGCGAGGTCCAGGCCGTCAGCCCAGCTAAAGCACGCGTCACTGTCTCTTTCCTTGGGTTGGAGTCTAAGGGTTGCATGGAACAGGTCCTGAGCATGGAAACATCTGCTGCAATTACAAGTAGCTTAGCGGAGAACATCCCCAACTTATCTCCGACTCTGGAGTCCCAGTCCCCATGGAAAGACGGACTCTAAATCCATGGCCCCAGGGCCTAACTGCACCGCTTCAAAGCAAACACAGGTAACTTCTCTCCCCGAAGGGCTCCGGCACGAGCAGGAACTCCGCGAGTGCCCCACGCAGCGTATCGCCTTCAGCTGCCAGGATTTCTTGGGCTTTGAACCACTGCGCACCGCTCCATCCAACCTCTCAAACCCCTCGCTGCCACCACCTCCCCACCGCGCGATGGCAAGTGTCATCAGCATGTGGGTTATCATTCACCAGGAAGTGCGACAATTTCCCTGGCTATAACTACTTTTTGTCACATGGTAGTCCTGGCCAATTATCACAGGTCCGGCATGGCCTGCACCAGTTCCTGATGATGGGAGCTGCATCATGACATGCTTTGCAGACCCCTGCAGATGAGAGAAGTGGCATTGTGCTGAAAAGTAAAACTGCCAGGATTTATTCAGATATGTAGACTAGATATACACATCAATCGTGACGAGTGTTACCCAAAAGCATCAATCCAAACTTTGAGCATGCTGATCTAGGTTGGGAAAAACATGGAAGACCCGATACATATGACCAAGCAGTTCGTAAGCTTGCGGCAAGTATGGTGCGATTGTGATTGTGACAACGATAGCAGGTCTGATCCCTATCCCTACGACCAGCAAGCAGCAACTCGCAGTCCGTCCCAAATCACCACCCGGAGGACCCTTACGTAGTAGCCTGTTGATGCCAACTCCATGCAACCATGTCTCTTGTGTTGTTTTTTTTTAAGGGTTTAGGGTTGGCGCTCTTTTTCTGGTATCAAGAAGTAAGGCTCGGCCCAAGCGGCGGAGCTGGCTGTCTCTGAGGATGCTCGCAACCAGACCGGTTGGAGCACTGCGCCCTGCCTGCGGCTTGACCACCTCAGAGGGGCTTCTGATAGCTTCGGAGGTTTCACTCACCTTCAGGAGGCGGATCGGGGTGTTCTGGGGTGTCATTGCCGCTGTCCGCCGCGGTGCCTGCTCAGCTTGCGCCTCCGCCTCCATGGCATCCCCATGTTCCAGTGCGGCGAACCTGTTGGCATTTTGGCCTTTCCTCGGTTTCCAATCAGCATCTCTCAGGACGGGATCTTCGGCTTGGATTGGAGGCAGTGAGAGAGGGGTGCAATCCTTCCTGTAAAGATAAGATGTTTTCACCAGCTCCCTCATTGAGCTGCTGCGATGCTGGCGAGGGAGACTGTCCGACGGAGCTGCAGAGTATTTGTGAATATGACAGCCCAAGCTCGAAACCGTGAAAGACTGAAAGACCCGGGATACTCAACTCAGGAAAGTCACAGTACAGTCCAGCGCTCAAGTATTGCTCAGGTGCCATGTTTCCGGCTTCCATACGCTAGTTAAGCCGTATAAATCGTGTAAAGCAACTTTCCCTTTAAATTGCAAATCTTCGGCGAGAGGCCTCTTCTTGCGATTGCCTGACGATTGGGGTACCGACCGCTTGGCTTGGAAGACCCGAACCTGTGGATCTTCCAGCTGATTTGCCTCACAAGCAGCCCAGGCAGGGTTAGGCACTTCAGGCTCTGATAGGCCCTCTGCATCGACTGGTGAGGTTGTTGAGATTTTAAGGCGTCGAAACCAAGAGGAGCTATACAAAGCCTCTGCATCTTTCTGGCAAACCCGCTAAAGTCGTGAATCCTGAAAAGTCCTGTTGATTCTGCGAGGCAAGGCACAAGAGGCTCCTTGAAAAAGGCTGGAACAGTCCAAAATGGCCGTAGGCCGTAGGTTCAGCCCCAAACCAAGGCACCACACTGTCAGAGCCACTTAGACAAGTCCCAAGAACGACCCAAACGCGTCCTAGGGAAACCTCTGCGAGCAATAATGCCCCCCCCCCCCCCAGATGCTAAGTCTTTCTGATTAGCTCATGTCAACCATTGCTATTTTGTGTTCCCTCGAGCCTCTAGTCCGAAAATGCTTTTGATCCGATCATCATCTAGAGTCGACAGACTCCGGCCACGAGCAGTCCACGTGAATTAGACATTTTCACTCTCTAGTCCTGCAGTATCTATTTAAGCCCCGTCTCATTCTGATACTACTCCTACTCCGCCACTGCTATGGCTGCTACTGCTGCATCGTGAGTCCTTGATTTGCACCTAAACGGCCGAATTTTCATCCCTCACGCAGGCCCTGGCCTGAGGCAGCTCAGTCCCGGCTAAGGCAGCCAGCAGGTGAACCTTGGCAGATCGGGGCTTTGGTTTGGGACTCAGGCGTTTGGTTTCAGCACTTTATCTGTACAAGGCTCTGGACGTCATGGAGAGGGGGGGGTAGCATGCGTATATTGGTGTTGCAGAGTTTCCTTCATTTCCACCACTGCAAGACTGACTGCCCGAGTGCTGTTCATATGTGATCACAGCTCCCAAAAGTTATTGACAGGTTTGCGCGGGTTTTATATCGAATCAGCAAACATGCAAAAGCCGTTCCTCGACTATGCTGCAGGCAGCCGCTGCTCGGGAGAAGGAGACGGCCGCCGCGGCATGTGCAGGGTCGAGCCACGCAAATCCCGCAGTTTCAGTGCTCATCTTCACCACGGCCGACTCCGCCTGGTGCTTTCTGTGATCAAATGGACTGCACTTGAGATTCCAGAAGGAGACTAACTAGGGCGATCTAGGGTTGTGGATGTTGTTTGGTTTTGGCCCCTATCCCACAAGTCGAAAACATACATCACTCACCAAAAAAGCACCCAAGCGTCGTCGACACCGTTCACGGCCCAGGCGTCTTGAAGTCTCGTTGAGATTCCCTTGATTAGGGCAGGCAAGAATGCTTTGCAAAAGTCCCCCAGGCGTGCATCCTGCATGAGACCTTGGGTCCTGACCAGGGGCATAAACAGCTCTCGCAGATATAGCTCTCCAGTGTGAGGCCGCATACCAGTGATGCTCTGTGCAACGTCCCTCAACCATAGCACAGAGTCGTCCATCTCCCAGAAACCATGGCAGGCCATGCATGAACGAGCTGCTTTGGCTGCATGGCATCGGAGCTCATGCACGAGACCACGGATGGCCAGGATCCAGCGCGGATTCAGGCCCCCGGAAAACTTCTCCAGCATCTCTTTTTCCTCGTCCGAGCTCAGGTATCGCCCCAGCACACCCTCTAACTCAGGCTTAGCCGGGAAAAACACCAATAGCCGCGCAAGCTCATCGCCGGCAGCCGCCTCAACGTAGACGTGGGCAAGCGTCTGCAGCAGTCGGAAGATGCCAGGTGCCCATTCTTTAACCACAGCATCGGGCAAGCTGGGCTCCAAGAGTTTCGTACTAGGCGCAGTGCGGGACACGATGCCAGTGAAGCTGCTGAGCAAAGTCCTGGCATCCCTCAGTTTGGCCAAGTTGGGCTCTTCGAGGCGGGAGTCGGCCAAAGGTGGCGACTCCCGGGCGGCAGCCAAGATCATGCTCAGGAAACCTGTGGCTTGGAGCCGGAAGCAAGATGCCCAGCAGCCTAAATCCTCAACTTTAGCCTAACTAAATCCCCACGTCACGTGCCCTGAAACTCTAAACCTTGAGACATAGCTTGAGCTTTTGCTGTTTGCACAAGACGCCCTCTGCATCCATGGACACGAGCTCGGAGCCGAGCCAGGCCGTGGTGCCTTGCTCTCGTCGTGTTTGGGGGCCCAATCAATCAATCAATCTATCTATCTATCTATCTATCTATCTATCTATATATATATATATGTATTTATGTACATATATATATACACACACACCAGTACAAGAACTAATCCTACTACTGCTGCTGCTGCTGCTACTACTACTACTGCTACTACTAATAATAATAATCCTAATAATCATAACAACTGTTGTTATTCTTATATTTGCATTGTTTTGCATTATGTTCTATTTGGGTTGATGTTGAGGGTCTTCGAGCTTAGGGGTGCTAGGGCCTTAGGCCTTTCGGGATACAGAGCTATGGGTTCCCTCTAACAGTTTGGGGCCTGTACCTGGGGGACCGTGTTTGAGAATTGCGCACCTTGCTCCAGCACACCGTTGAACAGCTGGACTTGTCGGGACTTTTCCTCAGCTCCAAGATGAAAACAACTAATCATTCTACTTCTTCTTCTACTACTACTACTACTGCTGCTACTACTACTACTACTGCTGCTGCTACTACTACTACTACTACTACTACTCCTGCGCTGCTGCTGCTACCACCACCACCACCACCACGACGACTACTACTACTACTCCTCCTCCTGCTGCTGCTGCTGCTGCTGCTACTACTACTACTACTACTGCCACTGCGACTGGCGCTGCACCTGCACTACAACAACAACAACAACTGCTGCTGCTAGTTCTAGTACTTACAGGCGCTACCGCAGCTACTACAGCAACTACGACGGCGGTCGATGGTCACGCATGTTCTCAAAACTAAGATGCTTCACTCCACGAACTTTGTACACATTGCGGACTTGAGGCATGGAACCTTGTACCATGCATGGAATTCTGCAAGAAGAGAGGTGTATGAACGATGCTACGAAACGTCAGTGTGTAGGTACATAAACTTATCGACAAGTCAATGACTCTATGCAATTACATGGTAAAAAGTATACACGTGCAGGCATGCACATGCTTATAGTAATCATAATTCGTACTTTTCGTGCTGGGCTGTTTACCTGTTAATGCTAAACAAACACTCCGATCTTACGTAGGTAGTATCAGCATATACCCATATGTAGAATAATGTGTATTTATCCATGCTCCTGCCTGAAAATATTAAAGCGGTTTGAGGATTTCAATTGTCACTATGGTTCTTGGGCTCAGTTCCAGACAGCCCCACCAGGCATCATCTGAAACCCTAAACGTCACATAGGAAGATGCTCTCCAAGTATCCAGGTCCGGACAGGATGCGAGAGCCAGTGCCAAAGCCTCGATCAGCTGGCCGCGGGCGTGTGCTGAGGAGACGGTGCTGGCAAGCTGCATGCACTCCTGGTTGAGCGCCTCCGCACAGGTTCAGTCAGCATCCGACTAAGTGCAAGGTTGTTTCTGTTAACCATGGGCCTGCGCCCCGCTTTAGTCGGTTGGTGCCTCCAGCTGGTTGGCACGGAGGACGCCCGACTTGCAAACGGCCACGAAAGTGCTCAAAGCCCTCTGCTCCAGCTTTATTCCCTTCTGCTGTGCTTTGTGAGCCTCGGGGTGGGGTGATCGGATGGGCGCCAGGATTCGTGTCAGAGCATCTCGCAGCACCTCCTCGCTCCAGTGCTTGAAGAACGGGCTGCAGGATGACAGAAACTCGAGCCTGCGATGCTCGATGGAGGGGTTGAAGCTAGGCGCTTCAACGCAAACCTGTTGCAGGAAGGATAGCATCGGCTTGGAGATCGCTCCCGGATCGATGGAGTTCTTTTCAGCGTACTTGAGAGCCTCCAGAGCCGCAGCTTCCACCAGAACCAGAGCACTGTCATATTCCTTCGACTGCACAAGCTGAGCGGCTGTAGGCTCTCTTTCGGAGAGGGATAGAGAGAGAGAGAGAGAGAGAGAGAGAGAGCGAGCTTTCTGGGTTGATGGCAAGGACCCAAGTTGTGGGCACACCTGCCGAGAACCCACATTCTGAACCTCCAAGTGCAACCGTGGCGACAAGAATCGATGATGAGCCCACGTCGATGCTGTTTCAAATTTTGGGTTCCCCATCAAGGTACCGACCTGCCTACTTAAGGCGAAGCGCTAACCCTTAATAAGTAGAAGTTTCGAATCTGGTTTGCCTTTGGGCTGCTTGTGGCAAACTTGAGCTTGGCAGCCTTTCTAGCATGAGGAGGGTCCTGAACCCTACAAAGCCCAAAAAGTGCCAACCTCGAAAGCCTAAATCCTACATCACAAACCTTAGATGCCGCAAGCACGCCGAACTTTACAGCCCAACTCGACCCAATCTAGGGGCCTAAATAAATACCAATACTATTTTGGGGGCTTCCTTATTAATTAAAATTCTGGTATTTCGGGCCCCAAAACCCTATTCTAATTTTCTAAAGCCCCTACTTTAGAACCTTCCTTCAAGGCTCTTCACTCCAGCTCGAGGCCGGATCGCCTGCCAAGGCCCTTGCGACCAAAGCCCCTGCAAAGCGGCACAGGGCATCGAAGCCTCCGGTGGGCAGACGGAGACTTCAGGGGTTTCGCCTTTGGGGCGTTGGGGTGCAGTCTCTCTGTCTCTCTGTCTCTGTGTGTGTGTGTGTGTTTGTTTGTGTGTGTCTGTCCACAAATTGCCAGAAGCCCTGCACATTCAATGCGAACGATGACGACGCACAGTCTCTGAGGAACTTCGAATCCCAGACGAATTTCCCATAAGTCTCCACCTTCCCCGTCGCTGGTCGTCGCAGCCCCCGGTTGGCAAAGCTCAGCGAGCAGCTCGCGGCAAAGTGTACGAACCATTCCGACCTCCCAGCTGAAGCAGGGCGACTCGGATTGTTGGTTTAGCGTGCCTAATATCCTCCGAATGCCCTTTTCAAAGAGTTGCCCGCTTGCCATAGTGCTACTGGTGCTGTCATCAGTGATCCTCGTTTGGCCATTGCTGCCGGTACTTTCGCGGTAGTGCAACCATGGCTGTCGTTGTGACTCTATTGTCCTACTCTTGCTGCTACTACTCCCTTTCCTGCATAGAGATATATGTACACACAGGCACACATGCATTCGCAGGTGCATTTGTGGAGTTTTGCTGCGTGCATCAGTTGCGTCAAATTCACTCCGTTTCTCGCAGAAGGTCTAGGGGCGCACGTAGTAGCAACGACAACAGGTAATATTGAGGTTCGTAATATGAAACATCTTGAAATATTGACGAAAATTCGATATACCCATTAAAACAAGTCTTGTGCGAATGGAAACAATCGCAGCAAGGAGAATAACGAAGCAAAACCGATCAGAAGGATGAAGATACAGATTAACAAAATCCTGTTGTCTGGTGTATCTGGTTGCTGCTGAAGGCCCAAAGGTCAGAGTCTCGGCTTCAGGCCTTTGGAGCATTTTGGAGCTGAAAGTTCACCTACCGTTCAGGGGTGAAGCTCAGGGGCCTTTGCCCTTCCCCGCCTCTTTGGATCCAACTGCATCCCACTGTCATCTTCATTCAATGCCGGTTTAGGGTTTATAGTTTGGAGGGTTTAGGGTGTAGGGTTTAGGGTTTGAGGGTTCATGGCTGCATACCCATACCCATGAGCCACAAACATCAAATCCATCGTATTTCGCTGGCCTTTCACAGATGCATTTCGCAAAGGTCCTCTCTGACCTTCAGCACAGGCAAATCCCTAAACCTGGAAGCGCAAGCCATAAACTCTCCCCTCAAGCACGACTCCCAAAGCCCTAGACCCTAAACCCTAAACGCTAAACCTTAAACCCTAAACCTTTAAACCCTAAACCCCATAAACCCTACAAGCCCTAAACCCTCAACCCTAAGCCTTAAACCCGAAACCCGAAGTTCAAAGTCTGCCTTGTGAGCCTTCGTCGCCTCGCCAGACCTGGAGCTGCAAAAAAAGCGGTCAAAAATCAAGGGGACTTGGGTTTAGGTGTTTTTTTGGCTTTGAGGGCCTTTTACCGTCTGTTAAAGTCTTGGGTTTTGGGGTTTGGGGCTTAGAGGGGGTTAGTTTAGTTTAGGGGTTTGGGGGCCTAGGATTCGGAGCTTGTGACCTGGGATTTTTGGGGTTTGAAGTTATAGGATGTGGGGCTGAGGGTGTAGAGTTTAGGATTTGGAATTTAGGGCTTGGAGCTGAGGATTTTGGGTGTTTGGGGTTTTGCCTTTGGAGCTTAGGTCAATGGTTTAGGGTTCAAGGATTGGGCGGAAGGATGTTAAGGTTTCGGGCGTGAGGCTCGGAGTTTGAGGCACAAGTAGATTTTATGTTCAGGGCTTGGGGGCACGCTCCCAGGAGATCTGCGCTTTCAACTCTTGGGGCAAAGGATCGCGCTCATTCGGGTTAAGGTACTGTAGGGGCCTAAATAACTACCCATACTATTCCGGGGGGGGTTCCTTATCATCATTATCATAGTAAGTATAACCGGGCCCCAAAACTCTACTCTAATTCTAAGGCCCCTATATTTTTAGACCAAAATATCATTACCCAAAACCCTATTCTAATCTCTAAGGCCCCCTATATCTTATTCCAAAAAGAGCTTCTCGCCGTGTGGCGAGGTCGTCTCCACCTCGTCGAAGCTCGCCGACACCGCCATCCAATCGGACCACTCTGCAATGGTGGAAGGGCTCCTGCCGGTACCATGTACTTTCGACTTTGAGGTCATGGTCTACGGTTTGGGGTTTAGGGTTTAGGGTTTATGGTCATGGTTTTGGAGAAAGGAGAACATGAATTGGCGGTCCATGGCAGGACCAACAGCTGTATTGCTATCTCAGAATCAGATTCAGATACACGCTGGCTCTCTATATACAGAGTTTGCAAGAACAACGACACTAACTACATGCATGACAACCGATGGACTCAGGAGGTGGGTTTTGCACATCCCGAGGAGGCTTTAAGGAGGTCCCTCCTCTGGCTCGAAGCGGGGCCCAAGCAACGGAGCAGCCAGGCACTGCGCTCCGAAGAGGCGGAGATCCCGTTGGCCTTGGAGGCTTCAGCGAAGTCTGCCTTGAGGGCAGCCACGTGTAGGGCACCCACCAGGGTTTCCAGCGGAGGCCGGGGCCTAGGCCCCGAGAGGGAAGACACCTTGGGCGCATGCCGGGCCAGGGAGACCATGCTTGTCATTGCATCGATATGAAGAGCGGCAGAGGGGTAGCGCAGGAGGAAGAGAAGTGCTGCCCAAAGAGTGCCCATCTCGGCAGGTGGCAAGACTTCACAGAAGCCTGCGGCATTGAAGCTGCATAAGTCAGCAAGCACGCGGCCAACTTGCTGGTGGTAGCCGTAGTTTTGCGGCCTCTCAATGTCGAACTTGCATTCTTCGACGAGTCTGGCGATCAGTGCCGTCAATCGACAGATGTCGTGGGTAGCTGGCGACGTGGACTCACCTTTGCCTTTAGAGCCCTTGCCTGATGGCTTCTGGGATCCCAGCTGTTCTGCCCACGAGGCCAGAACCGTCACTGCGAGCTCCTTGCAACCGGTAGACTGGAAGCCAATCTGGACAATCTTATCAAAGTGATGCCGCAGCAGGAGCTTCACCGGGACTGCGCTGGGCAGGGCTCGGCACAGCGTGAGAACTTCACGAACCACCTGACCATCCCCTCCAAAGCGCTGCAACGTGGCCTGGATGGCCTCCACCAAGGCCGGGGCTCCTGAAGGCGTCTCGAAGAGATCCGTCATGCCAGCGGCCACTTCCCGACGGCGCTGTGCTGTCATGTCCTTCGTATCCTCCACCACGGACTCAGCAAGCTGTGACCACACCCCTAAGCTCACGAGGGCAGGGCCCACTCCGAGCGTTTGTGATCGAAGCAAAGTGAGCAAAGCCGGAGAGAGCTCCGGCCAGGCACCTGGCCAGTCCAACCTTGCAATGCAAGACAGGACCTCACCACACTTTCGGCGCACGTAGCTCGGGGTGCTAGGATTGCTCCAGCTGTCGGAGCCCGAGAGTTCCAGTAGCCAGGCCTTCATCGCTGTCCACTCCGGCCCGGAAGGCCTCTTGCTCTCTGCTATCTTCGATCGAATCCATGTTAGTGTGAGCTGGAAACCCAGTCGTTGAACTGGCGGAGCTTCGGAGCTGACCAGCTTCCGGGCAAGCTCCGCGGAGGGCTGCCTTGGCTCTCAGGCGGCGCATCACTTGGTTATTCAGCTGGTTTTGGGTCGGGTGCACCGCCGGGTGCATGGCTGGTCAGCTTTCTTCGTATGCCCATGTGTTGCAATCTTTATAGTTTATGACGATCACCGAACAAGGTCTGCACAGCTGAAGCCCGGATACTTTTGCAAGAAAACATCGCACAGCTCACATGCCTCTCGCACCTGATCCGGAGAGCTGGACTGTTGCCTCGGCATGAGAAGCAGCACTCAGCAGAACTATCCAGCCTGTGCAGAGTTAAAGCTTAAAGCCCGAACCCCTAAACTTCCTAAACCAGCACAGCCGAAGGAACTCCAGGGCCAGGACGGCTTCCACTACCCTCTCGGCAAGCAATTCGGAAACCATGGCCGACTTCGAGACGAGCCTCAATGCGTCTTCATTCCCACGAATGTGTTGCCTGACCTTTTGATGGCTGCTCACAGCGCTGCATGTTACCACTAGCAGGAACAGTCTTAGTTCGAGTGCTCGTGGTACTGCTGTCTTACTGGTAGGACATGCGTTGCTGCTGCTGCTGCTGCTGCTACTCTTGCCATGATTATTGTCCGCGCTATCAGCATTGTTGCCGGTCATCGCCCTCCAACTGAAAACCATCGTAATATTGATCCTGTCACTGTTTTTACCTGTATGAAGATTATGGTTGTGAGCCCTAGACTCTATTGAAGTATTGGTAGCGCGCCACTAAGCGAGCAAAATCTGGCGGCTGCGGGACACGTCTACACATGGTCCCGGCGATCTACTTGACAGGCGGTGATGGGCAGTTTATCGCTTACCCCTTTTATTAAACACCCCCCTAACAATAAAAACATATCGGGGCGAATCCTCCCGAAATCATCCCTGCCCTTTAAACCCTATTCTGAATTAGGGAGGGGGTTTCAGGGCTCGAACAGACCCTTACAGCACAGTAAGAGCAAGAGCAAAAGCAAGAGTTAGAGCAAGAGCAGGAGCAAGAGCAAAAGCGAAGCATCAGCAAGAGCAAAGCAAAAGCAAGAGCGGGAGTAAGAGCAGGAGCAGGAGCAAAACCGGGAGCAACAGCAAGAGCAGGAGCAGGTGCAAGAGACGCAGCAGAAGAAGGAGCAAAAGCCAGCGCGGTAGCAAGAGCCAGAGCAGGAGCAAGAGCACGACCCCTCAAAAGTGCCCGTAGAGATAAACATATCACCATTGATAAACACTACTTTCCGAGTCTTAAACGGGGGCAAAGACTATAGACAGGCTTAGGTAAGGGGTTTCATGTTGAGTTGCAGATTTGATTGATGGCGCTTGTGGCTTGTGCGTTAGGCTGTGATCCTCTGATATTCGGACTTCGGGTTCAATTATCGTTTCGTGGTTGCAGGTTCAAGTTTAGTCGGGGGCGCAGGTGGAAGCTTGCGCAACGAAGTTGTTTCACTCTTTAGGGAGAAGAGGGAGGTGCATTTTTGGCAGAGCTCACATCTGCCTCTCAATCTTGAGGACGCGAGGGCGCAACATCACCGACTGAATCGATGTAACTTTGTTACAAGGAGTACCCGACCCTTTAGGGAGCCCGGGCGATGAGCAGATGACTAGCCGCCTAGCCACAGAGTGGCAAAAACCAACAAGTTTTCTTAGCACAGGGCTCCCCCAAGACCCTTGAATCCACACGCTCCACATGCCGCGTGAGGGAAAGACGGTGCCGTCTCAAGCAATCAACGGCTTCAAGCATCGGGGGTCCGGTTGTCACACAAATCCCAGCAGCGTGTTTTCCATCGACGAAATTCTTGTGCTGGCACGCATTTTGCGGCAGCATGGGCAATACCTGCTTCCAAGCTTGTTGCAGGAAGCGATCTCATTGACAGGGGCTCTCGAACATCCCAGATCTGAGGCGTAGACATCACGGCTGAGGAAAGCCCATCAGACAAATTGTTGCCACAAGCTTGGCGGGTGCATGAACATATTGGTTCGGCAATGAGTTGCGGGCTTCGGGTAGGCACAGGCCCTGGTCTTGAGTCTACATGGTCTACCTTACACTCCACTAGAAGGCTGAGAGTATTGTTGGCACTAGCTAAGCCAACAAAGCGGAAGTTGGCAAGGTCGAGGCCCCTCTACCACGTCGACGATGCTGCTGCGTCTATGCAGGTTTGGGGTACAAATGAAGTGATGTCCTTGCCTGAGCCTGATACTCTCGTCGCAGAATACCAGGGTCGCGGAATTGAACTCCGTGGTGTCGCAAGTCTTTGAAGTGTACAACTTGCTCTGAAACACACACTTCTACATTTCCGCAGAGCTCTTGCTTCCGCGACTCTCAGCTCGCAGCTACTTGCCGACCTTACGCGAAGCGCAACTAGTTGCAACATCGTTTCTTTTGTGGGCCATACAAGAGACATCCCTAGACCCCAAAGGCCCTATACCCTATGCCCTGAATCCTAAACTGATTGTGCTTGCTATTGAGGCTCCTTCGTCAGGATCCCACCGCTAGGGAGCTTGTGATCTCAACATCGGTGCTTTGAGGATTTCTTCTGTTTTGCAGTTCGTTCTCGGATTTCCCTCAAATAATAGGACTTAGCCTGAGGTTGCTGTTGACTGCTGAAGTCTGCGTTCAGCCTTGCGGTTTACGGTTTACGATGTAATACAGGGGCCTGAGTGGTTAGGATAGGGCTTTGGGGTATATTGCAGTACACTCCTAATGCGGACCATGCGTGGACATGGGGGTTCCTTCTTGACTTGTATGGGTTGGAGTGTTGAGTGTCCTGAAGGGTTTCGGATTCTAGATTTCACGGTTTTCGGCTTGGATAGTAACGGCTTGGGTGGGCTTCCGGTATACTTGTCCTCTTTAAGTTCCCACTATTGGATTAACACTTCCGCCCGACCAAGGGCTCAATTTCCAGCAAACGCGCTTTATGTTTCAGGGTTCGCGGGAGGCCAAGGGTTTGGAGTTCAGATTTTTCGAGTCTTGAAACACAAGCCCCTAACCCCCTGATTAAACCTGCCAAAGCCCCGGACCCTGCCCTAAACCCCAAGATGTCAAACCCTAGTCCCTAGACCCTCAACCTCAACCTGGGTCGCGGCACCGGCGGGTTCGGAGGATACGGACGCACTGTCCGCGGCTTCGTCGATGCGCCGAAGCCAGGATCCAACCTGTTCATGGTGGTCTCAACAAAACTATGGGGGTTTAGGGTTTCGGGCTTTTGGCTTAGAGTTTATAGGGTTTGGGGTTTGAGGGTTTGGTCTCGAAAATTACGGGATCCTTCATCCCTGGAGTAATGGGGTCCTAGAATAGGACTCGGATCCTTAAGAAACCCAGACCCTGAGTCCCTTAAGGATGGCCTACTGAATTGCTCGACTCCAAGGCGTTGATCCAAGTCTTTGCGCATCTTTTTTGTTTGGCCTCCCAGTTTCTTTGGGGACCCAGATGCTGCGATGAGCCTCTCGGGACTCTAAGTAGCACTGCTACGAAGATGCAGGACGTGGCAGAGCCAGATGCGGTCTGCGAGGCTCCTTCCCTCATGTCTTCCATGATCCTACGGGATCTGGTGCTGGTTGGGCTTACGGGCATCTGCTTGCGCTGGGATCTCAGCTACGAACTGAACCCTGGGAAGCCCTGGAAGCTCTACTCCGCAAAGTTGGTCTCAGTGAAAGCCCAAGGCCTAGCCGCAAGTCCAGCTTCAAACCCCAAGCCCATACCCACACCCGGAAGCATACACCGAACGCGATTCCCAGACTGCACCTGGGGTCTTCCGGGTTCGGAAAGGTAGCTTCCGGTGGGGCGGAGGTGCTCGGCTTTCTCGCAGACCTGCCGTGTCTGCAGCTCAAACCAATGTCTCAAAATTAAGCAAAAGCCGATGTGCCGTTGCTTGGAAGTGAGACGTCTAGCTGTATAGTAGGGGCTCTAGGGCAAAGGGAGGCGCACCCCGTATAGGGTTTAGGAGGCTTTGGGGTTGAGTGCTCCATGTTTTGGCTGGACACTCACAAGCTGAGCTGACATGATCGAGCTGACGAAATCAGTACTGCTTCGGACCGCTCTACAAGGCACCAGATGGCTTCTTGCATGTGCCGATATGAACAGACCTGCATGCAAACGCTGCGTAGTTTCTTCACATCCCCAACTGAACCTCGAACGCAATACAAAACACACGGGAAGTACTCTGCTAATCTGACTACGGATATGATGATGTGCGATATGTATTGTCGGGCAAGGTCTTCAGGAACCAAAGCTGCCAACCGAAGCCGGCCAGCTTGAGCCACGCGAGAAGCCCAAACCCAACGTGATGTCCAACCCTCGGGCCCAGCGGGCAGCAAAGTGCGCAATGACTTTGCTGGAGCAGCAATCGCTGAGGCTCACAACTCGCGTGGTCGAATGCCAAAGCCAAAAGATTTTTCTACTCCACTCTGGAAGCAGCTGAGGGCCCAGCTCTGCCTCCTGACAAGATTCCAGGCTTTCATGATTGTGTGGAAGAGTGGTAGGATGCACAGGCTGACATACATGAGGCAGAGCGAAAGCTGCCTCCAGAATGGCTTACACATGTTTACAAGGAGCCGACCGCAGCGACAGACATTGGTGCTCGAAAGGCCACCATGACAGGTTCCAGATTAATCTTCGAAGCTACGACGAACCGATCTGGAAGATCTTCGGTGATGCCCATGACAATGCCATTCGGGTAGTGACACCACATAATGCTGTTCATTCTGCATTGTACTTGTCTGTCCAGGTGTTGCCACTGGGGTGGTCGCAGGGGGAGGGCGGGGTGCGGGGGTTGGGGGGTCGCATAGCATTTCGAATTTGCGGGGCTGCCGAGGCAAAAGGGCTTTCTGTGTGGCATTGACCTCTGGTTGCACTGGAGCATGCCTGCCCGGTTGGATCATACAATCAGAGCTGTCTGCCTACATGATGCACAACCGAAGCAAAAGGTCCACAGGATAGCGGACATGCTAGCAAGTTTGTGAATGCCCGTAGCACGGTGCAAGCTGGGTGTCTCACCACCGGACTCTTGAGTTTCTGTGTCTTATCATCGCACATCCCACGAGCGAGCGCGAAGATTTTTGCATGTTGCAATCCATGCGGTCCTGGCCCTGGAATTTGCATCTTTGCACTTCAACTCGCACTGCAAAACCCTAAACCCTCAACCCCAAAAGAAGGACGGCCTTGCCTTCTCATCTCCGGCGGACGGAGAGCCTGAAGTGTTACCAGAGATGGTTTCAAGCAGCTTTGGGCCTGTGAGACTTAGTCTAGGGCTTTCTGGACTGGGAGGGTCGCTGGATGCGGGAAGGCCCAATAAAATGGGGGGTGCGGTTAATGCTTATGGTAGGGAAGCCAAGGGAATAATATAGGTAAGTATTCAGGCTTCCAGATAAGTAGGGGCGAGGCTTGACTAGCTCTGAAGCTCCTGCAGGCACTAGTTGCGGTCAGCCTTCGATCCGAAATCTTAAGCTCCCAAGCCGGAGTCGCAACCCTAAGCGCTTCAACCTATCCTTCAGCCCAAGAGCCCTAAACCTGGCACCCTCCCTAATCCCGAACCCTGGACCCCGAAACCCTGAAGAGCTATTCCTCGCTTCTGCTTTCTCAGCCGTCGGCCGAGGGAATCTCTGCTTTGGTGTTGGTGACCCCTGCAGCCGAATCTCCGGTTTAGGGGAACTCCACTTTTTGGGATGCGGGGCTTCTGCAAAGGTTGGAGATAGGGTGCTGTAAGGGTTCTACAAGAAGGTCTTGCAAAGGGCTCGGTGAGCTTGGGAACTCCGGCTTTTGGTCTTGTGACAGGGTCTTTCCCACAAGCCTTACGGTCTGTGTAGCGGTTGGGGTAGGGGTTGTTATAGTTTGGGATGGCATGGTTCGGAAATGGACAATGTAGCTAGTCCTAAACTGCTCCTATATGAGGCTGTCGCTGCTGCTTCCAACATTCCGCTGACACCGACTCTGCAAAAAAGGAGGGCATTCTCCTTGGGTCTGTTTTGGAACCCTTGCTAGTCAGGCTCCAATCAGCATAGACCCTGCGCCCGAGATCCCCTGCTCTCTTCCCGTTGGTCTCCATTGCAGTTCCTTTTTCCGGCTTAACCTGCCAATTTTAGATCAAGGATCTTATAAGGAAACCCCAAAGGGAACTACGATGGACACTATAGGTGTCCTCAAGTCCAGCAGCCTTAGCCCCTCAAACCTGAAGCCTGAGGGAGCTCGCCGCAATGGAAGGAACACCCGGTTTAAGGTTTTAGGGCTTAGGGTTCCGGGATTTTTGGTTTAAGGTTGAGAGTTTAGGTTCTAGGTGTTTTTTTTAGGTTCTAGGGTTTAGGGCTTAAGGTTTAGGGTTTCAGCCGTGTTAGCCCCTTCTGACCTCATCTCCTGAGCACGTGTCTTGGCCAGGCGTTGGAGCTGAGTGAGTCGGTTGTTGTAGCAGCCTTGGAGCACTTCGGACTCTAGATCCCCGAGTCTTGGCTTCCCCATAGGCTCCAAAGTAGTTCCTTTCTGGGGCTACCGTATAGGGATCTACATATAAGCCACAAAAAGGAACTACTTTGGAGCCTGTGGGTAGTATTCACTGCAGTTCACTGCCTCAGGGACTTCATCGTCAACTTCTGCAGGGTTGCGAGACAAGTCGATTACGCTGCGCGTGACTGTAGAGCATAACTAACAAGCTAAACCCAACACTGGACACACACCCATCCGGCCAAGCAGCCAAAGCTAAACCAAGCCAAACAAATCACGGCAACCCCCCCCAACCCACGAAAATCTACGCGAAACCAAAACGATGCAGCACAGCATGCTGGGTGCCCTGGGCCCAAGTAGGACGTGAAGATGGAGCCCTCGGGAGGAGAGTAGCGGTAGCCGTCCTGCTGAGTTCCCAGCTAGGAGCGGTCCGCTTGGCAGCTCGGCTTCGGAACCCAAAGCTTCGGCTGAAATCGTGGGTGTTTGGGGCACCCGGTTCAGAAATCAGAAGCTCCACATCCTATGACGAGGTCTTCGAATACACAGTAACTACTTGGGACCCAATGTAGGTGTAAAGCTCTGAGAGTTGGGCGGGTACTATTCCTGAGGCTTCCCGTGATAATCATAGAGTTTTCTAGTCTACCCCAAAGCCCTATGCGAATTGTCCCAGGGGGCCCTGGGGGCATCCTTGTAGAGCAAGTCGAAGCCGCCGACCTGCAGCTCATTGCCGCTGAGGTACTTCTCGATGTCCAGCAACCTCGACAGGCTGATGCAGGGCATAGGCTTAGGGTTTAGGGAGTTTAGGGAGTTTAGGGGTTTAGGGGTTGAGGGCTTTAGGGAGTCTAGGGCTTTAACTTGGGAAAATCTGGGTTTAGGGAGCCTTGTTGCTTATGTTTCTGAACCACCCGTGGTTGCACCACAAGCTGTCTTCAGCATGGAAAGGACTCGTCGAGGGTCGAAACACCAACCGCAACTTGGCGCTGCATTTCTGTGCGGTGTTACCCGGTCATTCTGAAGCCAGTTTTCACCGGGCAGTGAGGTGTCTTGGAGACCAGAAGGTCATTGAAATTTCTTGTATGTCCGGAAGAAACAACACAACGACAACTTAGCTCTTTTGTTCTGCAAGTTTCACAGCCCACCGAATTTCACTTCCGCTGTAAGGCAGTCTAGGACCAGGCCGGCGCTCCCGAGTCGAAATTCTTCATTGCCCGAGGTGCGTGAGGAGGTCATCGAGGAGCCCATACTTCATTTCCTTGCGTCAACCAGAGGCGCATGCAAGCCAGCCGCACAATCAACACACATTGCAACACTCCCGAATATCCTACACTGAAATTCCCGAAACTCTCAAGGTGCATAACTGGACGTGCACACACACACACATGCCAAACCGCTTGCCGTCCAGCAACATAATCTGCCGTGGTGTTAGCTGTCAACGACGGCGAGGCATTGACCTAGCAGCTACGCTGTCGAGGCTTCGAAGTGGCGCTCAAGCAGTGATATATAGGGGCCGTCATGGAACAGGGCTTTGGGGTGTACTATACTATAATCGAAACAAAGGGACTCTTTGTCTATAAGAAAAAGGAGTGTGACAAATTGTGCAGACCCCGACACTATTGGGCTGTTGCAACTTGAGTCCAGCTGCATCAAGGCATGGAGTGCTGGCTCTTTGGGCATGGCCCCCCGCGAAGAAGAAATGGCTAATTCTGGCTGAGGCCTGCGTCCGAAAGTATAAGGGCCTTAATAAATGTACAAATCCTATAATCGTTAGGGTTCCTTTATGTACTTCTACTATAGTGTACCACCCCCCTCCCCCGCCCCCCCCAGTCCTATTCTAGCTATCAAGACCCCTGCATTACATGCTGCAAGCGCTCTTTTCGAGGCCTGCACTTTATTCCCAGGGACAGCATCTCTCTAAAGAACCCAGGAGCTCAAACCGGCCTCCAAAAGCCAGGGCTTGTACTCAGAGTCAATGAGGATGTCGTAGCCATACCTGTGGAAGCTTGAGTCTTGAGTTTTCTTTTAATGACAAAGCGCTGTACCAAGTAATGTAGCACTGTGGAGACGGATTGAACATGCGACTAGACATGCAACTATATGGCGCATCCTCGTATCAGCAGAGGTAGTTTCTCCTCTTGCTTCAGTTACAGGCGAACTAGTGTTTTGCCTGTGCCATCCGTGCCGGAACTTCGCATGATCGTTTTCGAGCAGGAGCCCAGAGCACTCAGCACTCAAGCATACTTGTACAGCGCTGACGTTTTCGTGGCAAAATCAAGACTCTTACAATGACACCACATGTTGAAACTTTGTCCACGGCCCTCACGGGCTGGCAACCTCGGAACACCAGATGTACCCCCTGTGGTTTCAAGCTGCATCTCGAAGCAGTGCTTGTCGTTGATCATGACCTCCAGAATGTGGCGGTGAAGGCCAAATTAGCATCATCAGCAGAGAGGAAGACCACTAGCAGAAGCAGCAGCACTTGTAAGCGTTCGCTGCTACCCGCTCGCACGCTGCTCTCCTATCCAACCTACGGTACCTTTCAACAAGCTTCCTACCCGTGCACTGCGAACTTCTTTGCCGGCCCTGTGCCGTCCGGGGTGTCAATACTCGCACACGGCCTTGCTGAGGCTGCTATAAAGCTTGATCACCACACTCGGCTTTCAAGCCTGCATATAAATGGCACCGGCTATTGGCATGTGACTCTGCATCCTACATGAAGGTTTCTAAAGCAAAACGAACACTAGCTGCACATATCTTGGAGTCCTCAGACATCCAAGAATTCCGTGTACCCCGTAATTGTATCTGTCTTTACTTGGCTGTTCCAATCGCTCTCATTATTTGTTCTTGTTGCCGTTTGCTACTACGACTGCCATGGTTGTTGCGATGAGAAACATCTGACTCCTCCTTGTCAAATCGTTTGCTGACCAGGCCTTCTGAACTGAGAGCAGAGAGTGGATGACAATGCCCTCGATGTCATGGAAGAGCTGATTCACGACATCAACCCCTGCCTTAACATTGCGTAAGTTCACATGGAGTCGCCCACAATGTGCAGCAAACTATGACTGTGAGGGTGGCTCTGGTTCTGAGGACGGTGCCGTGGTCAGCAGGTAGGACTTCAGGTTATTCACGTCCCATTTGGCTCCGGTCCTCTTGTAGGCAGCCTTGCCGCTGTGCTTCTGAACCTGCTGCGGTGCCATGGCTTCTCGTTTTCTTGGCTCCTACCTGCTTCGCTGAGATCCCGGCCGCTACGTTCGTTAGGTGCGACCCCAAGTCGTTGAGGTTGCTCTTGTCCGAGGAGTAGCGGGACATTGAAAACCGGCAGAACCCTCCGCGATGCATATAAACCTGCGGCATACGGGCAGCCCAGGCATAACGAGCTGTTGCACACTGGCATAGGCTGAGGGGAGCTGAGGACGGAGCCGTCAGGGGATGGTAACTCGTGACGCAGACATAGAGCCGCATATCCTGGTGCCACGCTAAAGCCCAGTCACTGGGGCTGGTCGGATAGTAAAGTAAACCAGCCGTGGATGCAGTCGGGTTGCGAACTTCTTACCACCGATGAGCAGAGGTGCTTCCACGTACTTCCTCAATCTAACCGCGAGCAAACTGAGGCATAGCACCAACAGCATAAGGAGAACTATAGTAACATTGGTGGTCTATCGCCACATCTTTTTCGACAGTGCAGCTCGGTCACTGCGCGACGTAGGTTTCCTTGGTGCTTTGCTGGACCAGCAGGTAAGACGATGGAGTTTGGGTTTCGGGGCTTCGAAAAAACAACAGGGGACAGCAACACTGAAACACTCAAGATATTGCATGCTATATATAGCGCTGTTGCAAAGCTCATGACCGGATTGAGCCTCAAACCCGTGCTTTCTTTCCCATCTCCTCATACTCCAGTGGCCTAGTGGCAGAATCGTCCAGAATCGGGAAAAACATGTATGATGCGGTGGACCGATTGCTAGAATAGAAACGCATCAGTTTCGAGCCAGGTATTGTGGGTAGTTATAGTCATAGTAGTTAGCCGAAAAAGTGGTCGCTGTGCTACCTGACCTCCACCGGCTTCATGCGGCCCGGCGGCCACACCAGCAGCTTCATCGTCCTGTGTGCGCAAAGTCCGGCACTGCACTGCTAGAGAACCTGCTGCCCACACCGTCACAACACCATTTTCCCTTACTGACCGGACTTCCGGCCGACAATCAGAGGGAGAGAGAAGGACAGACAGGATTAAAATTGATGAAAAGATCGGCTGGCCGGCATCTAGCGATAGGTAGGTAGAACGGTAGAACAGAGACACGGACTGCCAGACCAAACAAAAGCAACTACGGAGATTCCAAGAAACAGTGGTGGATGATGGACGGATCACGGCAAGATGCACATAGCTAGGTCGATAGACATGCAGCTGAAGCAATTCGGAATGTCGTTCGGCAGGGTCTCTGCATCCCGTGTGTGGACTTCGGTTCAGTTGGATCTGGTCGTTTTTGGGCAAAAGTGCGCCACAGCTCGATTCCTCAAGCCTTCGGCATTCCATGTAGTCGAGGCTGCTACAATCTATTGTTGATCAGATTGTAAGCACACGTCTTAAGTATAAGTGCCAACGCAAGGAAAGCAAAGCATGCAGCTTCGCTCATGATACTTTGGGAATCATGTAGCGCCTGTTGGTACGTTAATGCAGCACCTAGGACCTAGGGTTCAGCCGACCTTGAACCGTTCCTTACTTGGACAGCCATCAACATGAATGCAGCAAGCGTTGATTCGGCTTCTCCTCCGAAGCTTTTGCCGGCTGCACCGGGTTCCAATCCTTAAAAGGAAGGCGATGAGCTCCGGTTACGGCTGGTGCAGGGACGGTCTACACCCTTCATTTTTAAGGTTGAGTTAAAGTCGTGCTCTGGTTTGAAGCTTAAGGGGTTTGAATCAAGATCGCGGTTTCTTGTCGTAATCCGGCAACGCTGCTTGGCATGTGCCAAAAATAATTCAAGGTGCCCAACTATCTAATGTGGGTGCCTTAATAGTTAGAATTGGGTTATGGGCTCCTTTATAGTATGGATTTATCAAGGATCCCTATTAGTAAGCCCCGATCAGCCCTTATAGTAAACAGCAAGACCCGAAGGATGCATCCAAAGCCGTGCCTGCTTGGGCTTCCACTGCTGAGTCTGGGCGAGCTTGTTCCTTGGAGCCCAGAGCTCGCTGGTCACAAGCTTAGCTGTCGTGACCATACTGGTAGTTCATAGTGGTAACCAGAGGAACATTATCATTATGCATTGGCAATCCTAGATTCCTAGATTTCTTCTTCTCGCGCCGGTAGCTCTGCTGCCATGCTCCTCTACTTCCTTGTCGTACATGCCACTTGTCCAACAATTATTTTTGTCTTTGTGTGCTTTGTTCTCCGACTATTTGCCGTTGGAACTTTTCACTTTTGTCACCATCTGTTCACTGCTGACATCGTTAGTGTCATCCTCAAAACTGATCGTGTAATGTTCTTTGCTACTCCTACTATGATTGCGTGTCGCAAGTGTTCTCGTCTTTGCTGGTATTGCCACGTGTATTGCTACTCTCACCTCTGAAGCGTTGCCTTTACAAGTGTCCTTGCGAACAACGCTGCCGTCTTCGGGAGCCCTGCTCACAGCAGCACTGCACCGTCGCTATCTGTCGATGTGGACTCAGGAATGGCTAATAGCTGTTGGTATGGTTCTTCTCCCGCTCAGTTGCTCAGGGAGGGCCCAAGCTCCACCGAAACCTAAGTCCACTCCACCTGTAATTCAACACCAAGATGTGAGGATGATGATGATGATGATGGTGATGATGTGGACGGCACGGATGGTGACGCCTCTGCCCGAGACCATCTGTGAGCAACGATCTAGACTGCCAGCAGATGTTTCAACACGATCGACCATGGCAGCGGCACAAGAAGTAGCAGCAGAAGAAGCAACACAATAAGAACAAGCAACAGGAGCAGCAGCAGCAGCAGCAGCAGCAGTGGCGGCGGCCTTAGCCATAGCAATATTTGGTAGCGGCAAACTACTAGAAGGCAGTGTCGGGAAGCAGAGTCAACATCGCCGTCGTCGTGCTCATCGTCCTCGTTGTCGTCGTAGTAGTAGTAGTAGTAGTAGTAGCAGCAGTAGCAGCAGCAGTAGCAGTAGCAGTAGCAGTAGCAGCAGTCGTAGTAGTAGTAGTAGTAGTAGTAGTAGCAGGAGGAGGAGGAGGAGGAGGGGCAGTACTAGTAATCGTTACATGTAAAATGTAAGTGCCGCACAGGCCCAATAGCAGCAAATTTTGTGGT